AGAAATATCAGGTGATTCGCAACACACAGTTCTTTCCTCAGCTGACTCAGTGTATGCTGCAGTATTAAAGTAATCTAAAAAAAATAATAAATTGCATTGTAACTCTAAGCTATTCAAATTACTTGGTTGACATTCGTATGCATATCAATCTATGATTATGATTTTATTCAAAAATGACTGTTACAGTTTTTTATAAAGCTTTTTTTATTCTTTTTTTATGTGGAAGACAGATAGGACCAGTAGAAGCAAACCTAGCAAGGAAGGGGAAAACCCCAAAAGATTGGAGAACAAAATCAAGTCACTGTAAAAGAAAATTTATGTAAAATGAAACAACATTCTTTTAAAATGCAGAATTCTACTTCTGTCATGGTACCCAAAAGTAAAGAGCAAAACACAGCTTCTGTATAGTTTTCCAGCATGCCCATGGTTTGGTCATACTCACAGCACTACTGGGAATAATTAACTTTCCTAATCCTTGTTGTCCAATGGAAATTATTTGTTCTATTTTTAAATTATTAACAATCTAGCTTTTTTCTTTACTAAGAGGCATTCACAAAAACATTATTTAATTTGTAAACTGTCCAAATTCACAGTAAAATTTCTACCAGCGCTATCAAAACCAAGAATATTACGTTGGTGCTTTGGCAAGCAGGAATAAAATAAAGCTTGCACTTCCCAAGTGACAAGCTAATACAGTTCTACATACAAGGCATAAAATGACTGGAAGTTTCCACTGAATTTGCTCATTCACACCTCATCTAGAACATTTAAAAAATGCAGACTAAGTTTGAGCTGGGTTTTTTAACGGCGTGATACAAAAACAAGAAGATGAAGACTGGAATATGTTCCATCTAGATGGACCTACAATTCTCTCTGGGTATTTAGCAAGAATGTAAACATTTACTAAACATTTGATTGTAAGCTCTCATTTTCTAATGAGTTTTCTAGTTCCAGAATTATTGACAATGATTCTGCCAATATATTCAAGGACACATTAGGAAAACCTCAGCCCTGCTTGATACCAAACCATATTACCTAAACCTGGGAACATTCACACTGAAGAATACTACAAATACATGTTTAAATGCCTTAATAAATTTGGGCCTACGTGGCTTGTGACTCTAAGTCAACCCTGTATTCCAGACTGTGTGATTTGAATCTGTAACCGGTAAGTACCAACTACACAAATATATAATTTCTTTAGAAGAATAAAGTGATACACTCTAATATACCAACATGCCTGTGTCTGTGCAAGTATTTCCTTCTAGTTTTATTCCATTCTGGCTCACAGTGATTTCACAAATTTGCTGCCTCTGCCTTTGCTGAGGTACCTCAGAGTGGTCGGTCGTACCTGTCTGTACAGCGGTGTCCTTCCGAGGAGAAACCTGCTGTTCACTGTGGCTCTTGACATCATCACAGAAATTGTTACTTTGATGTGAAATGCCAGAATGACAATTTTCACACTGCGTGTCACCTAAAAAGTTGTAAGTAAAATTGTTCCATTTAGTGACATATGTTCAATTTAAACCGTGCGATTGAGTTACCCGACTATAGTGGTGTTTCTTTATGTAATACAGCACCTGACACTTACTCAAATACAATATTCACCATAGTAGTCAACACTTGTATTTGTTTGGAAGGTAAATAAATTATAATGAAACTTGGTTTGTGAAGGAGCCATTTCTGACCCAAATGCAGACAGAGAGACAAACCCAAAAACACCCCGAACCAGAAACAATTTGCTTTCAAACCCCAAAGGAACAGGCAAACTGAGTAGGAGAAGGCTTGTACTTGCCACCACCAGGATTGTTCTGAACTTTGGAAATGTCATGTGCATTCTGAGCCACGTCTGGAATGTGCTGTTCTTGTTTTAATCTCTGGGCTAATTCCTGAGCTTTCTCCATTGTCTGATAGAGCTCTTTGGTTTTAAGAGTTGCGAGTTCCTTAAAAAAGAAAAAAAGGCAAATATGTGATAGTTTATTTTGAGAATAAAATAAATAGAGTTACTTAATCCCCATGTAATCCTCGAGGTTTACATATATTGTTATTTTGGGAAAATATTTTTTTTTTCCCAAAACTAAAAGTAGTTGAGTAAATACAATATGTAACATATAATTTCTATGATTATTAAGGATAAATTCAGAACCTCTGCTGTACTAATGAAGGTTGTTCAATCCTAGCATAGAAAAGTGAGCATTTAGATCCTAAAAGTTATTTGGATATTTATTTCCTTTCTAGTAAATTCATCTTTTTCTAGAAGCCATCTGATGTCAGCCTTTTGTAGCTTCCTGTATCATGTGGTTTAATGAAATGAAAGAAGCCTAAATAAAAATAATAAATCCACCTTCCTCCTAATTCCACAGGAGACAGTAAAAGCTCCCTAAAAAATGTGAGGGGGTTTCAGTTTCCAGACTCAGTGGGTTCAACTGCAGGAGACAAGGCCAGGGAAAATCTCATTTCCAAACCGTTATTCCCATCTCATCCCCCCTTCCTACTGCATTTGCAGGGGGAAAGAAGAACAACTGGTGGTGTAAAATGTTTTGAAGGAGCTGAGCAGTTACAGGCAAGGATGACCTTCCCTATGTTTTACCAGTCCCTGGAATCAGGGATCCACATGTCTGCAGGTTTTGGAGCAGTGACACTATGGAATCTGCTGCTGTTCCAAATAGGAAATGAACTGTAATAGCTGCTACTGTGGCAAAAGGAAGAATGAAACATCAGATGAGGCTTTTAACCTTCTACAGAGGTAGGAACATATACAAATGCAAAATTTGTACTTACCAAAGGTCAGAAGGTACTTTTGGTTTAACTTTTATATGAGAGCAGTATGTAAAGTTCAGCAATAGTTACAGAGGGGAAAGCTGTAGAACATGAATGACTTTTAAAATTACTGTTCCAGACTATATTCTAAGAAGTCTTTAATTCAGACTGAAATCACATTCAGTCAGATGAACTTCATGGTACTGAAGTATCTTAAAAGCATCGAGTTACCAATAACAATAATTGCATCACATACTCTGTGGTATTTTTTAATTTAAAATTTGCATTTTACAATGGATGTTTCTGCATTATTTAGAACTACATTTCCCTTTTTGCTAGTTCTTATAATTTCTCTTCCTGAAAATGCCCTTGTTCAGAAAAAGAAAGTTGCCTTATGCTTGTATGGTGTTATAAGTTTATCAGTTGAGGAAACAGATTGTGATTTCAAATTTCTAAATTTCAGAGTTTTCATTTTCAAAATGATGAAGTGACACAATTTTGAAGGTGAGGAACAAGAACCATTTTCCTCAAAGCTCAGTCTGACTATCTGCACTAAAGATAATGCAAAACCCCACCTCTTTTTGTTTTTGTTTCAGCATTTCTTCTTCAAACTGTTTCTGTAGTTGTTCTTTTTCTCGTGCCAGGCGCAGTTCTTCCTGTTGTTCCTCCCATTTTCTCTTCTCTTCCTCCAGTTGTTTCTTCTTCCTTTTTTCTTCCACCTGGGCCATTATTGCTTTCTAGCAGCACCAGGAAAAAAAAGGAAAAATACAACATTGAGGCATTATAAGCTATTTATTCATATACTTTCATATATGTGTATAATAATTGGATTTGGACAAATGACAAAAAGAAAAATCAAGACAATTTATTTCAAACACTTTTGGCTTTGTTTTTGGAAAACCACCAGCCCCATCGAGCATTTTGCAATACTGAGATACAAAAAGGAGCTTTTAATGTTTTAGAAAACACTTTTATTTTTCTTGTAGAGAAATGAAGGTCTGGTTTTTACTTTATGTATGTACTGTAAGCCAGGAGTTTGATCTAGCAGAGTAACAGTTTGACCAGAACAGTCTTCTAAATTTATACTGAGGCTTCTTTACATGGTGCTAGAGACACCACCATGGAGATATACATTCAGTTAGAGAGCCACAGAGGTTATGTAAATGTCAGTAAAGTGCATAAAAAGCTAAAGCTTCATGGAGTGGGAATCTGTAAATATTAGTCCTCCCCACAACAGTGGAGACCAGGAAAATGCACACAAACCTACTGGAGCTCTAAAGACTGACTGTACATTTTTGGAGGCAAGAATTCAGTTATAGAAAGGCAATCATCTCTTACAAATATTGAAAGGACACTGTAGAGTCTGACTGAATGAAATACTGCAAACAACTGTACATGCAACCTAAAGCGTAAAAGTCAAGTGCCTGCCTGGATTCTGGTATTAAATCTCATGCTTTATTCATGAGACATTACCTTTTATCCTTCCTTCTTATTAAAACAGTGTTAGACTTTAAAACAAAAGTCTACCTGATGTTCTAACTGTTTCTGCCGCCTCCTGTCTCTCTCTTCAATCTGTGCAGGGTCCAGGAGAGCCGTCATTGAACGGAGGAAACTAAGAACAAAGGAACAGGTAAATGTTTTTAATCATTGGAAAATAACCCTAAAGCCTTTCTTTGTTAGAATCAGTTAGATTTCATTTTCATATTGAGGTTATCGCATTGTATTAATTCATAATTATGGAATTCATTTTACTAAGGAACAAAGTAAGGTTATTTGCAGTAAATGTTATTAATGAACAATGGAAGCACTTGAGTCTTTCAAAAGTGAAACAACAGGTATTTCTGAAGAAAGAAAAAGTGAAATAAGATCCAAAGATCAGATTTAAAGAAATATTTTTTTTTTTTTAAATTTCTGAGGTGGTATCAGAAATGTACTGGCTGGGAAGATGATTATCCTTACACAGCTCACTCACCTGACTTTCTGACTCTGTTCCAAAGCACCATTTTTAGCAGCTTTTTCTGCATTTCCCACCTTTAAGGGCATGAGATTATTGCCTAAAGCTGCAGGTGAAAAAGGGTGAATAAAAGCAGTCAGCTCCTTAGGGTCAGGTGACAGGCAAAGACTTTCAGGCTGCTTTTTGTGCATTCCATTTAGGGGGTGTTGTGCATTAGCATTAAGGTGGTTCTTAAAAGAATCAAAATGCATTGCCCATCTGTCATGCTCTTCTGCCTAAATAAATATCAAGCAACAAAAAAAAGGAAAAGCACTCAATCACACTGTTTCTGTAAAGTGTGCTTCACAAAACAGACAATACACATTTTGTACAACAGGAACATTAGAAAAGCTCTGTTAGGGAGTTACAATACAGACAGCAGTTAATTCCTTAAATGGGAAAACAAGTCTGTCTGTTGCTTAAAATGCAAGTCTGATCAGGAATTATCCTGCTGATCCATATTTGGTCAGCAAAAACATCACTACTACATTTTCAGAAAAAAACAAACATCAAGATTTATAGAGCAAAAAAGTGTTGAAAAATAAAGTAAATTAACATAAGGTCAGGCTTTTTGGTAGTGTTTTTTCAATTTATAGTACTGTTCTGTCCCATGATTTTTCTAACAGGACTGGGCACTGCTTGTTAGAGAAGTCAGTACTGGCCCTGCCTCACTCTCCTCCTGTTGTGTCATTATTCCTTCTCTACTAACAAGAGCAAGTGGCTTCTTTTAAATTGTCTTACATTTACACCCTCCATTTTAATTCTGGACAGTAGCAGAATCAATGTGCTTTGGGCAGAGATATTAATCTCCAGCTTCCAATTTTCAGCTAAACATGCCTATTATAAAATAAGCCTTCCTTCAAAAACCTCTTTCACCCCCAGCAGCCACCAGTGCCATCCCAGCTAAGTACCTAAAACTTCTGAAGAGGTGACACACTGGGTGTAAATCTCTCTTCTGTACCACCCAGGCTTATCTTTTTGGCTCAGTGTTGGCAATTGGGACATTCCAATATATCACTAATTAAAGATTTTTACCTAAGGGGCTGTTGTTTTGCTACTGAGAAGGTTTTCACTTCTGATTGCAAGAACTGTTTCCCTGGAGGGACTGGACAATGACTACCTAAAACTTGCATTCTGCAAAAAAATACCTAAAATTATGTAATCTGATATAGTTTCTGGGAGTCCTTTCTTTAAATTCCCTTGTGTCAGCTAAGTTTAACACCTATTTTAAAAGAAGCATGAAAATCATAGTCCAAATAGTAAGTTACTCTTCCTCCTGTCCCTTTGAACACTCTGTGATATAGAAGCAGATCAGACAGTTGAAAAATCGACTTTATTCTTTTGAGGGTCTGTGCTGCAATATGCAAGAGTTCAGAGTATAAGACAACACTTGAAAAAACAGGTGTTGAAGCAAAGGAGGTTAAGTGCCCATTAACCTCCTTTCAGACAGAGGCTGGGAGTGAAAGTACTGGGGAGTTACTCACTGGTAACTGCACCCTCCTCCCACAGCCCAGCTATCCATTAAAAACAAGGCACTAATGAAGGAACCCTTCACAGCTGTGTTCCCTTCACAGCTGCAAAACTCAGTTTACAAAGGAAACCTGATCCCTTCAACAACTAAGAGGATGACAAGACTCGTGTTGCCTGTAGGTACACAACCGACCCGGGCACCAAGGGGTTCGTAGGAAAGTTCTATTCTAGTATTACAAGCTGTGGCATTAAAATGATGAATTGATGTTTAGGAATTGTATAACTGCTGTAAAATGCTTCAGTTGGGAGTAAAAACTGTAGCCTTGTAATCCAGAAGGCCACAGGCTATGAAAATTCATATCCATCAAGTTTTGGTAACCAGGCTTCTTGTTCACTAATAACACAAAACATCTCATGATGCGAAGACAGCTCATGTATGGTGAAAGATAAAATCCTGGAGTTAAAGCTGTGGACAGTAATTTGAGATTCTAGCAGCAGTACAGTCTCACTGCATGTTTTTTTATTTCAAAAAACAAAGTTTTTGGAAAAGTGTGTCAGTATGGGGCTGTATAAGAATGCAGAGCATTCCGCTGATCTTAAAAAAAATCTGTAAAGATAGTAACAGATAAAGGAAAGAAGTCAGCTTCCATATAAAGAAACTCCAGGGGTATTGACCCCACTGGCCAATAGGGACAGTATTAAAAGTCTCTTCAGGTATTCCACCTGCAAAGCAATTACGTTGCCCACACTTTCCTTCTAGATCCAGTATTGGAGACCTACATTCAACAGCCTGGAAAAACCAAAGTGTAAACAAGGTAAGGCTATTTTCTTCAATACTTTCTGGAGAAATGTTTTTTAACTTTTTTAAGGTTTCATAAGAGTATATGTGTATTAAAATAATATTTCTAGAAACAGGATTTAAACAGCTGTGTGCTACGCTGTACTTGTCTATAACTTTCCTCCTGTTTTCTCATCTCTTGTAACCTATAAAAAATTTCTTTTTATGTAGCCATTGTCTCTACACCACCTTCCAAACTCTAGTGCTTTTACATATGGTGGGAAAGAAAAAAAAACAGAAAGCAATATCCCTGTCTTAATCTCTGCAGCAAGCACTGTAACACCACACCAGACACAGTTTGTTCTCTGCCACTGAAATACTGGAACAGCTACAGGCTGAATGTTCAGTAAGTCCACCCTTACAGTGAAAACATGGACATGCTGCGAAAACATGGACATGCTGCAGATAATGATGCCTTTGTTGCCACTTCACTAGGTCTATGATTTCATCTTTTATTTCTTAGAACATGTAGAGAAAAACCTCTCTTATTCAAAAAAGTCCCTCTAAACTACAGATACCTTTGATAAATTAAGTTTTTCTTCTATTTTTCGTAGTTTAGCTTCTTCCTTCTGTTTGTCCAGCTCTTCAAGCCACTTCTTCTGTTGCTCATGCTTCAAAGCACTGAAAGGTCGTTCCTGTGGCACAGCTTCCTGAAATGAGATAAGTGCTAGTCCCTTGTACAAAAAATTCAATACCTTGTCTAGCCATGTAATAAAGACTTGGCCTTCAGTTAGTAAGCATAAGTGGGCTTTTCTCTAGCACAGAAAAAGTAAGTTTGTAACTGCAGAAAGTATCTGACTACTGTTAGAAAGATGCTAAATAAGCCAAACTTTGAACATTATTCTATCTTGAACCATCAGCTTGTCACTGTAGAAAACCTTACTTATATGTATCGTGAATAAAAATCCCTTCCTTCTTCCTATGGTTCACTGCTCAGTCTGTGTTCCAGGTAGTTTCAGCATCACAATCTAATTAGCAGTAATCTGTCTCAAGTAAATTACTTGTCATCTTCATTCTTCTGTTTCTGCTTCTTAAGATGTCTGTATTATTTAACAAACTCCACTGGCACTGAGAACTTCCCGTGCCAGCTGAGAAAAACCACTTTCAATCACTGCCTACTAGCCACAACCCAAAACCTACTTTTTGAACCTTCTGCCATCAATATTTTTTATTTTTGATAGGTTCCCACTACTCTATTTTTTCAACACATACTTAAAAATTAACTAATACTTCATGTCACACCTCTGGTACTGTTCTCCACATCAGCCTTGAAAATGCTCAGTCTTCAAAACATCAATATTTTGATAAACATTCATTTAGACACAATTATTTAGAGAGAGCAGAAAGATCTAATGAATTCTTCTGGTTTAAAAGAACTACTGGAGACAAACATTTGTTGTCCATAAATAAATAAAAAAAAAAACCCACATGCAATTTAAGATCTTACCCTGAAAACAAATGCTGTGCAACTGTCAGCTGGAAAGTCAGAAGAACTGAAATCAGAAGACTGCCCAGCTGGAGCTCTTGAAACATTCAGTGGAACTTCATCAGCCTCTGTGGCTAAAGCAGCTGTACAGGCACAGTTTTCCTCAGTGGCATTGACTGAGTCAGCTGGAAACACTGTCTACAAAGAACATGATCATTTTTAAGACTTTAGTTAGCTTACCTGTTTGGTTTATATTAAATAGCCTTTAACAATCAATAGACAAGTAAATTATACTCCTAGAAGCTGCTATTCATTAAAACTTCAGCCAAACTAAGCCTCTCATATCCAGTTTTCAGAGTGACAGCTGACTTTTTAAAAGGCAGAAGAAAAGTCCTATTGCTATGCTCATTATTATGTAAACAATCAAACTTATGTGAGAGCTCAAATGAACAATGTAAATAATTATGTAGCCAGGGATTACATTTGAGACTATTCCTCAAAACAGAACGAGAAAACATTTATATTTTTAGTCAGGAATCAAAATGGAAGGACAGGAACGAGTTGTTCATGCTACAAATATCTTAAGTTGCAAAGCTACAAACTGGAGCTACAGGTAAGTGTGGAACAGGGAGCTGCAGCTTTTCATACCAGGAAAGAGCTTAAAGTCACCACTGATATTGGATTCTACTGGATTTGTACAGAAAAGAAAACCTTGTATGAATTAGAAGTTAAATTGTTCTGCAGCAATGGAAACTCTGCTCTTCTGTATTTATGGACAGCCTTACCTGATCTGGGTCAGCTGTTTCCACTTTTTCTTTATGGGTTTTATTATTGCCAGGTTCTGCCCAGAAATATCCCCCCTCTCCCTCCAAGGTTTCTTTCAGTTTCTTCTTCAGTGCTACCTGTTCATCTTAGAAAAAAACCAAAACCTCCAATAAGAGTTCCTAATACAAACATTTAGCAGTTAAAAAAAAAAAGGCATCAATGCATGTCTACCCTGTTATTTTGACTGTAGAATGGACTACAAGAGTTGTCACCATTGTCTGACCAACCAGTCCCAAACGTGACTTTGCTCTTAAGAGAGTGGCAGCTGAGACTCTGCCCAGAGATGCAGAGGTGACTGGGGAGTCCCTCTAGAAGAAGAAAACACCAAAGGCTTAACTATTTCCCAGGGAAAGAGGGAAAACTAACCAAGCATATAAATTCTCTCTATTTTATTCTACCAGTCTTCGACTACTAAAACATTATTAAAACCAGTGGAACTATACATGAAAGCTACTGACAAATGCATAATTAAACCCTTAAACCAAGTGGCCTAAATCCCAGCTGAAAACAAAACACAGCACTCCATGGGAATCATAAAAAGTTTAGTTTTAAACATGTTAAGCATATTTAGTTTTCTACACAGATTCTCCTTGCTTGGTGAGGGGACAGGGGTGCAAAGTGTTTCAAATTCAAATTGCAATTTGATACATTCAGTCCTGCTTGTAGATTAGGCTGACGCTTGTCCCATTAAAATCCAAGATAATGTTTAATTGGTAAACATGCATTTTTGCCGGAATTTATTGATAATCTTTGCATAAAATTTTGAAATTCAAGACTCTTAATCTCTCTTGGAGACTAGTGAAATTATGTACTTTTCAATTTGCAGCAGATGCACTGATTATAAATAAATTTAAGAGAGCATAAGGAATACCAAGTTTCTTGGCATCCTGAGTGTAATAAAAACTGATCAAAAATATATTCTATACATCATAAATACCTAATTCCTTCTTCCACTGGATCTTTTTAAATTCCAGTAAGGCTTTCTCCCCTTCTCTTTCACCCAAGGTACTAAATATGTCAGCAGGTTTCCACGAATCCTTTCTAGAAAAAAAGAGGGAGGAATAAAGAATTTTACCTAAAAAGCTAATCTGTTAATTTTAAAGGTAACTTTTAAATTTATAAACAATCTTAATGTTATTAAGAATCTTAATACAAGTCTTTACTGGGGACACAATTTTTGTACACAATAACACAAATCTACCTACATAACTTTCTGTCCTGGCTGTGGATGTGCTTCTTGTTTCCTGCTTGAATCACAGTTCCCTTCATCTGGAACTGATGAAACTTCACAGTCTTTTTGGAGTGATGCTACATTGTTTTCCTCTGATGCCTCATTAGTATCTGTGGACAACATAAATATGTAAAAAAATAAATATACTTATGACCACTAAACTTTCTTCAGCACTGAGAAAATACTTCAGGAACAGCAGAAAATTTCAAACTCCACACTATTTAGCAAAAGTGTTTTCAGCCCTGCTTATATACTTAAGACACGTAAGTTAGAACTTCACAGGGTATTTTTAGAATGCCAGACTTTCAGTAAATGCTTATTCTTGGCTAAAGGCTCAGACTTTGGGACTCTACTTAATTGCAGTGTCTTATTCTTGGTGGCAAAGAGCTGACCCTCTCCACAGACCCACCAACAGGAGTAAGGGTGCAATGCAGGAAGAAACACAACAGTTCTTATGCTTCTGAGTGGAAGAACTGGGGAGGAAAAAAACAACTACTCAGCTGTAATATTTGCAGTTAAGCAAAAAGATACGTGTACATCTTTGGGCCAGAGGAAAATGGCAGCACTGCTCTTGCAAGACCTGAACTCTTCACAAACCAGAAGGGCCTGTCTCTGAGGCAGTGATACAGTGCAATTCTTTGTTTTCTACCCCAATGTAAAATTTGCGTGAAATATTGCCAAAACTCCTTGCTGGTTTGCTTTATGAAGTACTGGAATACTATCAAACAATCCCTAGTTTTTACTGTTAAAATTATCAAATGCTTGGTTCCCAACAGTAACAAAAAATTTCACATCCATAACAGCAAACAGTATTTTGTCCAAGACCATTAAATATAAGAGTAACATCTCTACAGCACGCAAATAAATTATCAACTCTGACTTAAGCTTTCACATTTTGCTGTTTCCATGAAATGAACTTATTCAAGAGCTGGTTTCTTACCCATTTCCTCTTGCTTTTCATTATGAGTCTCAGAGATGCTTCTAGTTCCTTCTTTAACAATCATCAGAATCTGTTGGAGCTGTTCTTGTGTTAAACACACCAAACTTGTCAAGTCTTCACCAGATACAGATGGGGTTTGAGGTTTCTGTTTAGCTTTTTTAACAACATTAGGATCCTCTGAATCAGGATATCTGTTTGTGCCATCTCTTTGGAAAATCAAAGAGGGACCTTTAGTTGTGGCTTCATGTGACGAGTGTTTAGCAACTTGCAGTTTTTCACCTTTTGTCATTGATAAGCTTGAGTCACTCCTTGGTTTTGCTACGTTTTCCTGCTTGATACAAGCATTTTGTGTTGACCTCAGGACATGCCCAGCGTGCCTTGTTCTCAATGCCTGTTTAGGTGCTCTGGCTTTATTCCCCATCTGTTAAAGCAAAAAGATTTCCCCATATGTTAAATAAAGAAATAAAACTGTATTTGAAACAAATGAAAACAAGATCGAAGCAACAAATAAAGTAAGTGTCATTTTTCTTCCTTGGTGGACACTTGTAATTATTTCCTATGTATTAGGGCCTTTTTCAGCCTTTCCTTCCCTAACCCACTGCACTCCAGTTTACTCAGACAGAGACAACCTGTATGACCAAATTAGAACTTAAACACACTTCTGATCCCTATTTTACCAGAATTCCTTTAGGGTCTCTGAAAGTTCTGATTTATATGATTGCCTGTACTGCTTTAACTTCTTGGCCAAGAAAAATAAAGCATTTTACAAAGGTAAAAATAGTCACAGAACTTTGAATTTATCCGTTTTAACTGCTATTGTGAACCTGAGAAATCACAGAATATCTCAAGTTATAAGGGACCCATAAGTACAAATTTCTCTTTCCTAAATATAATTGATTACAGATATTTAGGTAGTTCAAAAGAATTCTCAAATTTCTCTCTTAACGAACTAAATAGTTAATCTATGTATTCTAATAATTTTTCTACTTACCTTCATTGCAGGCTTTGATTTGTCTTTTGGGAAACAAACACAAACATATGAAAGAAGTATTTAATGACAACTTCCTCCTGAAAAACAATCTTGAGAAATCAGTAAACTGGTATATTCATCTGGGTTTTGTAGGTCAGGGGAAAATACTTTGCCTGTAACATCTGCCCTGATTATTTTACTTTTTTTTACTTATTTCAGTATACACACTTTAAAAGTATGTTGGGAAAAAAAATTAGATATATTCCAGTAACTAGTTCCAGTTTTATACAGATCTAATAAAATTATTGTGCCAGTCTGGCCCTCCCCTGTTATTCATTATTCCTCAGAGCCCTGTGGTAATGGCTTTATCTCTGGTTACATGATGTTATGTCTCCACTGCTGAGATGCCATCCATTATTTCTCCCCACATCTATCCCCTGAAACACCCTTAAGTCTCTTTTAACTCAAATCCTAGAGGATGCATAGAGGTGTAGTGGTCTCAAAAACAATAGTAAGTACCATGTTGAGTTTAATACTTATGAATAAAAAATATTATAATAGAGGGAAAGTGGTACTCGAGAAATCCTGCATACATAGCTAATGCAAAGGGAGAGAAAGTAGTAGAGATATTATTTTACTGGGACACATCTATTGGAAATAAGGCTTCTTCAGCAGCATAATCCAGTTACTGCTCTGGCAGTGGCTGCTGATCATTTTGCACTGGTAGCACCTGCACCTTTTTTTGGCATTAACAATTGAAGACACTGGAGAACTGTTGTTAAAGTCTGCAAAACAGCACTATTAATGGCTTCCAACCTACATGACCATTTTAAAATTTGGGAGAATGCTGAACTGTTGTCCTGCAGGGACAGGCACTTAATCCTGAACCACCCTGGTTTCACCACTACGTTTCAGTAGTAAAGGTGTTCTGTGGCCGTTTTCAACTCTGGGTTGTCAAGCATTCAACCCTCATCTGAGTAGGTAAAAGTCACTTTTTGACTTCTTTCTGACTATTCAGAAATTAAGTGTGATTCTGTGTGCTATTCAAACCAAACTTCTCTGTAAAAAAGAGAAACACAAATAGGGTCTTTTCCCATCACAGTGGGGAGATGCATAATGTGGAACTCCAAAGTCCTGCTTATGTGTTATTTTCTTTGATTTTTTTTTTCTGTGTAAGAGAGAAGCATCTGTCTCCAGCAGCAGCTTAAGCTACTGCAGAATAATCCTGCTTTAGTCCCTAAGACTGTGAGCAGTGTCTGTCAGTGCAGAAAACCGAAATTCAGAACTAATACAATCTGACGCAATTTTTGACATCATTCTACTCAAGTGCTGTTCATATAACCAAGTTAATTTCTGGAGAAGAGTGCTTGTTCAAGGCTAGTTCACAGTCCAAGGTAATGCTTTATCTTGGAGCACCCTGGAACATGCACTGGCCCTATGCAGCCAATGCTGCTGCTGCTGGTTGTAAAGAGCAAAAGCCGTAGCATTGCTGTTTCAGAGGGATTGCAGGGTTTATTACCAGTACACTGATGTTCCTTCCTGACTCAAAACACCACATAAAGCCCCATTAAACAGCTGTCTGGTAAATGCAGAAAATCAAATCTAATTTAAAAGGCATTAAATGGGAGAATTTCTGTATCCTGATGATGTAGAACAGCTACAGAAAGTAGCTGTAAAGCAGCAAATGTATGTCTGACAAATCACAAAAATAGAATTTATTAACATTTAATCATGAGCATATACTGGAAAAGTCTATTTTAGATGGCAGTAATGAGATTTGGCCTAAATAAACTGCTTATTGAAAATTAAAAATGTCAGCTGCCAAATACTGAAGCTGCTTTCAAGTAAAAGATGACTGTAATGATGTATTTCTGTGTAAATTAAGCAGAGAGTTATTAGGCCTCTTTTTTCCCTGGTAAGTAATGTGATACAAAGTTAAAAAAATTATCCAATTGTGCCAGTTGATACACAATAGCACTTTTATGAATAGAAGCAAGACTATTGGCCACCTGTTCACAGTGGACAAACTATTCAGAACTTCACTATCAACCTACTGTTCAGAATCAAGGTCCTGAGCAAAAAGACTTGTAAATAATAATGCACAAACATTCTTCCTGATCTGAAAAATATTTCAATAAAGCTGTGCTTTGTGTTGCTTGGATCTTAGGTTTAACTTCAAGAAGCTTTAAAGATTACTTGAGATAAATGATTAAAAAAATACCAGAAGCAGCTAAAATTAGCCTAGGCCTTCCATCCAGTACTTCAGTTTCAAGCTTCAGTCCATCACTGCAAAACGAAAGAGAGAATGGAATCTGAAATATTGAGTAATCTGACAATGTAACATCATTACATTAATAACAAGGACAATCGTACTTAATTACAAGCCAATATTTACTGTTGGTCCAGATGGTCTTTCATACCCCAAGCTTTGAATGTTTTGAGAAGTTACTTAATACAAAGAAATCAACGTGTCTTGAAGAGAGTATATTTTTACTGAAAAAACTGGATTTGGTGTTGCAAAGGTTGATGCTGAAGGTGCCATTCACACATATATATATATATATGTATAAATATATAGTTATCCAGTGCAATACACCTGCCTCAAGAATTTCGTCATCCTACAATATAAACTGTGTGCTACAAAAACGACTCAACAAGTCTCCCAGAACGCCAGCACTGACCACAAAGAGGGGCTGTGTTCTGGTAACAGCCCTTCATTGTGCTTCCATGCACAACAATCCACCTTTCCAAATGGAACAAGCTTTATTAGAAGGGTTTATTAAAAGACAAAAGCGTGGCAGTGCTTAGGCAAAGTACACACACACTCATTTTTCTACTACTCATAGCAGGGTTGAGAAACCCTACTATGAAGATCAGTGTTCAAAATAAGACTTGTCTTCAAGCTTTCATTAAAAAAAAAAAAAATTAAAAAAAAACAATGCAGCGAGCACGGAACTTCCTCGGGGGCCCGGAGCGGTGTGACCGGAGCCGCTCCCCGCAGCCGAGCCCGTCCCCGCTCTGTGCCGCACCGCTGAGCCGCGGTGTCCCCAGTGTCCCGTCCCCAATGTCCCGTCCTCCTCCACCGCTTCCCAGACCCCTTCCCGAGGCCCTCCCGTGGGACGGGCCGTCAGTCCCGGCTCTGCCCCGCTCCCCGTGCCTCGGCCACGCGGCACCGCCGCGCAGCGCTCCGCGGGGGCGGCCGGGCGAGCGGCGCTGGGGCCGTCCCTGCCCGGGCACCGGGAGCGCCTCCCGCCGCCAGCCCAGCCCAGCCCAGCCCCGCTCCCTCCTTACCCCAGGTTCATGGCTGTGCCCGGCGGCCGCGGAGCCGCGCGGAGCTCCGCGCATCGCCCGCCCCGTCCCCGTCTCCGTGATCCGCGGCCCCGCTGAAGGAGCCGGGCGGCGATTGGGCTTCCCGAGGGCGGGATTTGCCAATGGGCTCCTGGAGCACTGCGGGGCGGCGGGGCCGGGAGCGCTGGGGGATGGAGTCCCGCACCCCTCCCGCGACTGGGAGCGCCCCAGGGAAGGAGCTCCGCGCCCTCCTCCCGGGGGATGGAGTCCAGCACATCCCTCGCGGCCGGGAATCCCGGGGGATGGAGCCCCGCACCCCCCCCGCCGGGAGTCCCGAGGGATGATGTCCCGCACACCCCTCGCCTCCGGCCCCGCCGGGGGTGCGCAGCAGTTGCCGGGCGATTATCCCCGGGCTCGGGCCTGAGCTGCCTCCGGAGCGTGGGAGGGCGGCGGCTGCTCGCTCGCCTTTTAGTGCGTTTATTTATTTATTTTCTGGTGTGGCTTTGGCGAAGCGGAGGAGGCAGGAGAGGGGGGCGACGCTGAAGGTGGGGGACCGAACAGCGTCTGGAGCCGGCGAGGGCTTCACCCGCCCGCCGGGTGTCCTGGCGCTGCGGGGGGAGCGGATCCCGTCAGGAGAGGAGGGAGAGCCGGCCGGGGCAGCTGCCCGGTGTCCGGGCTGGCGCGGCGGGAGGGGAGGGCGGGGAGTCCCGCGTAGGACGCTTCCCATCCCTCCCTCCTGCCATTCCAGCGGGCGGTGGATCGGTGGATCGTGTCCCGCTCGTGGGCTCTCCGTGGGACTTGCTTTACTCTGGGCTGCCGAAGTGGTTTCTGCATCACGGTCCTGCTGAACTTTTGAGATCCGGCCCTTCGCCATCGCCACTGGTTTGGTGGGTTTCCCAGCCCGCGCTCCAGGTGCTGGTGGGTGTTCCTGGACCGCTTCGATGCTCTTGAGCAGCGCTGTAGGAGCGGAATATTGAGCACTGTTGTTGTGTAGGTACAGCTTCTGGAATAATGGGACGTGTAAACGTGCAAATCAAATGAATCTACATATTGCCTCATTTTCAGGATAATAATATCGAACTTATTTCAGGAGGATTTGCTTATGTTCAAGAGTGTAGTCAGATTCCAGAAAATGCTTCAGAGCCCGTTTAGATATTTTACTATTCAAGATGGCATTTAAGCTTATGCTTAAAGCCAAATGCTTACTGAAATCCTTGATTTCAAAGGAGGTTAAGGCCTTAAGGCTTGTCTCGAATAGTGTTGCTTCTAGACGAGGTTAATTTTGTCTGGACAAAGGTACCACAGATACAAGGGCAGATCCTCTGCGTGTTCTCCAGCTGTGCTTACTCCAACTGACAGTGACAGAAGTGTTGCCCTTTGGAGATTACAAAGAAAACAAATAAACAATAATAGAAAAATAGACAGTGAGGCTGAGTTTAATGTGTACACAGAACCTCTGAACTGCTTTGTTTGTTCTATGAAATTAACGTGTCAGTCATCAGACAAAATTATATTTTCTGGGGGATTTTTTTACAAATATTGCCTCACAGCTTTTTGTTTGGTGTTTATGGATTGATAGATGAGCTAAAAAGTCTTTGAAACATTCATTTAGGGACTAGAACAAGGGAGGAAAAGAAAGCCAGGAGTTTTTCTCAGTAATGCACTGCATATGAAGTCCTGTGAAGCACAGAGCATACAAGATAGATTGTTGATACCTGCTGCCATTTTTGGCTGCCTTATATCAGTGTCTCTAAGTCTCCCTGGGATGTCATCAACAATAACCTCTGAAGATTACTTTGTCTATATGATATAGTGTAGGTTCATCATTAATTCCAGGAATTAAAATTTGTTAACAGTGATTCAAACCAAAAGAACACATGGTTATCAAAGTGTTGAACAGTGCTTTCCCGCAACAATATTGAAATCTGAATCTTAATCATTAGGAAGGGTATTGTCTGTTTAATTTCTTAAAATGTTTTTGTGTCTGAAACAATCAGCTCTTCACTGTCATGGATCTCATATGCCTGATTTCACCCCACCTCTATGTATCTGGTCACAAGGTAATAAGACCTGTGAGATTTCATCCCCAGCTTCAGAATGGATTTCCTAAAT